GTGATTTCAATAGGCGATAGTGGAGTTTCTTAAGTGATTCCTTATAGATCTGCAGTTTGTTGTGGAAGATATAAGTGTTCTGTACTTTTCTCTTGTGTTAGAAGAATATTTTGTAACTTGTTCCCATTTTTGGGCTAAATAGTGCATCCGAACAGATATCCATTATTTGGATGCTCAACGGGAAACGTAGGTGTTAGATATGGTCACCGAATTTCGGGGCTTAGGCCAAAAAAATTCTTTTTGTTCAATCTTTAATTTTCTGTAAGTTTATTCTCTAATAAATTGATGTTTGTTGAAATCTTGTTTTAATATCGTGTGTTGTGGACCTTTTCATATTATCAACAGCATATTATGGTATTACCACCGCTGCCTCTGCATGTTTTTTCACGGAGCTACATTTGAACCATTAAAAGAAAAAAAAAATTGAGTCGTCACTAAAGTTTCGATGAACTTTATTCAAATATTTGAATTTCAAAAGTGCCATTGCCAAGTCCAGTTGAATTGAACTTTATAGACGCCTTCCTCAAGAAACATAAAGAGGACATGATGAGGTTGCAAAGACAATGAGCACGCGAGGATGATTAACCATATAATTTAGACTATTGATTTAAATCATAACATATTAAAAAAAATTTCAAAAGTGTAGTATATTTAATTGTTGATACAAAAAGCTTCAATATAAATAAATTACATATAAAATTGAGTTCCTGTGAATTTATGTTTTTGCTCAAACTTGAATATCCAATTTTATAGTACAAAGTCCGTGTCCACCGGCAAAGAAAAAAATTTGCTACATATATATATTACTCTTTATATCTTTGTTTGCACTTTTACACATGGCACAATCACATCTTTCGATCTCCTCAACACCTTTTTTCATATCACTATCCAGAATGTGCCACATAGGAGGGAATGTCATTCATGGTGGGAAGCAACATGTACATAGAATTTTTCTCCTTTTTACAGAAGGAATCCTTCTGTAAAAGTTACCGACTGTCACATGGGGCCCAGCCCCATGTGATTTAAATATTACAAAAAAAAAGGGCTCCACCTTAATGTGTGTAATCTGTATGTTTTACATAATTTTTTTCCAGTACATGTAGAAGTGCTCATATACATATAGCTTAATTCAAAAAATTAAAAATTAAAAAAAAATATTGAGTTAGCCTTTTCAAACACGAATTTAGGATAATTGGCACAATATAATATTAACCTTTACATAATTTACGCAATATAACCATAACATTTCATTTTGGCGTGATTAATCAAATCTTGCGAAATATAACCCTAATCATTAGTTTGATTAGTTTGATTCTGTTAATCACATATAATTTTCTTATTTATTCCTAGTTAGATCCAATGATTTATGTAAATTCACATCATTGACACTGAATATAAAAGTGACACTATTAGCATAAGATTGATCTTTAGGAATATGATTGTGCTATATGTGCATAGTACAACACATAAGGATGTACATAATGGACACATGAAGACCCTCTATACACAGGCTCCTCTCAATACGAGGTCTCCATGTGTCCATTATGGACACCATTATGTGAAATGCTATGTACCTTGGGAATAATGCTGAACGTACATGCCATGGTTGCAAGAAAAATTCAGGGATTTTAATTTAGTTATGTGGCTTGAAAATAAATAGTTGACGTGTGGAGAATTTTTAAAGAAAAGAGGAGTGCTCACGGCCAAAATATTTCTAAATTCATCATTTTTTTATGTTTTTATCTTAATTTTTGGATATTACGAGATATCAAATGAAGCCGAAATATTGCAGTCTTAATATTATTTCGAAATGCTCACAACCTAGTATTTTATGTCGTTAACAACATACAAAATTGTCAATTGTAGCAAATGTTACGGTGCGTCAAAGTAGACATTTTCAAACTAGTATTTCAAAAATTTCGATAATATATTAACTTTAAAAATTCTCCTACGATCGGATGCTAATCAAATTCATAAATCCTCTACGTTATCTTGAAGCTCATTTCGAGAACTATATCATAAATACATCGAATGATCCAAATGAATATGAAAATAGTTAAATGTTCATTAAACGTGGGAGTTAAAAAGAGACGTATAACTCGTATTTTCTTTAAATTTCTTCAATTATTTCATTAATATTTATTATTTCTGTACGACAAATTTTTCAATATAATTTACATAATTTTATTAGGAAATTTTACATGATGTATGACGTTAAAAAAAATTCATATGTAAAAATTCCTAATAAAGTTTTTATTACTTTATATGGAATATTACTACTTTTTCTTCTCGATTATTTTTACATCCGAAAATTCCTAAAAAAAAAAAATCGATCATTTTTAGGATTTTTTTTTTTTTTTACATTAATTTTACTTTTCCCTCTCGATCATTTTTATAAAAAAAAAAAAAATTAAAATAATCTAATAAATTTCCTAATATAATTTTTGACATCATTTAGGAAATTTCCTAATAAATTTTTAAATGAATTCTCTAATGTCAAATTTTTTACATTAATATAAAATGTTCTCTCAATCATCTAGAAAATTTTTACTTTACATCCTTTTTTTTTTTAACGTCATACCCATATAAAATGATGTAAATTATATTGGGAAATTTGTTGCGAAAATAATAAACATCAATGAAATAATTAAAGAAATTTAAAGAAAAAACGAGTTATACGTCTCTTTTTAACACCCACGTTTAACTGTTTTCGATGTTTATTTAAACTATTCGATATATCTATGATATAGTTTTCAAAACGAGCTTCAAGATGACATAGACGATTTATGGATTCAATTAGCGTAAGAACATCGATTTTTTTTTTAAAAGTCAACATGTTATCGAAAATCTCGAAATACTAGTTTGAATTTGTCTACTGCAACGTAACACTTGTTAAAATTGGTCATTTCGTGCACCGTTAACAATGTAAAATACCAGGTCGTGAACACTTCGAAATGTTATTAAAAATGAAATATTTCAACTTCGTTTGATATTTCGTAATAATCCAAAAATTAAGACAAACATAATAAATTATAATGAAGTTATATATATTTAGGTTGGAATACTCGGCTCTTTCCTTTAAAATTGCTACGACACGTCACCTCTTTATTTCCTGGATTTTCCCTGTGAACCAACATCTTCACCTCTTTATCTCATGCCACATCAACAAATTTAAATTCCTGGATTTTCCGTGTGAACCAACATCTGTACGAGTAGCGGGATTGTATCTTTAGTTTCTTTCATTTTCTTCCCATTTTAACAAAATCACACGTCCATCCCTTCTTACATATATTTTGTTCTTTTAAAATGTTTTTGAGGCGCAGCCAAGTAGAGGGTGCCCATTTCTAAAATTGGAATTTGGGGCTTGAAAGGAATTCCATAAATTTATATATCAAGCTCCCTCAAGGCCAAAAAATTCGAGGGAAAAAAAAAAAAAAAGTCGACAAACTATTTCATATCTCAATGAATTGCGCACATTTGTTTGATGAACACACACTGCAAATCAAGCACAAAACTCCCAAACGTAAGTGTGCACATTTGAATTTGTTAAAGTAACAATAAGAATTTTTCCAATTTATAGCTCTAAGCAAATCACATGGCTACCTATGCCCCAAAAAATTTATAATGTATATGTTTGTTTGTGCAAATAAGAGAGACATTAAATGTGGAAGAAACAAATGCAGATAATAAGAGGGATTTTTAAAAGCCAAATCCAAAGACCTTACATTCTTTGCATACTTCGAAAATTCCCAAACTCAGGAGGAATA